AAAGAGTCAAATGTTAAATTCTATGAATTTCCTCAAAACACAAGTATGTATTTTATTCACTTCTAGAATACAGAAAGCATCTACACTATCTTGTACAAAGCAAAGCCTAACTTTCAGCAGTGGTAGAAATACCCTATCTGTACTACACTATAGCACTATAACTGAGGAAGCCAAGTTTTTTATATTGACTAATGTAAACTGAAGAGTGGCTACCATAAACAGCACAGAAACAGAATATCATCTGAAATAGCTACTTTTAATCATTAAAAAAAAACACAAGGAAAATGTTGCTAATTTTATTTAAAGTGGTTATGCAAGAAAAGAAATGTCCTTATTTTATGTATGTACAGTAAATATGACTAAAATGGCAACATCTGAGGTATGCTTTAAGACACTTCTGTCTAAAAAGGGGACGAGGGCAGGTGTAGCAAGGATGGTGAGATGTCAGTAACTCTCATCTCACTGATAAATATTGAGGTTTTGTTATACAACTTCCTCTGTTTTGTATTTATTGAACAATTTACTAACAGAATTTAATGAATTTTAATAATTCCTAAAATTGATCACTAAATCCAATAAAAAAATTCTAAAAAGGTAATATATACACATTCCAAATAAGTATTACTTATACTTTACAAATTAAAGGGCAAGTAAAAAGCTCCAAAAGTTATAAGCCTACTGACTTAAAATATAAAGAGATCTCCATGATTTTAATATGGGAAGGTTGCTATCAAATGTAACTGGAAATACAGTATCATGAATTCCATACCCCTTCCCTAAACCCAGTAGTAAACTGGCTTCCTATTTCTGTTATAAAGATACCACATAGTATTTAGCAGCATAAAGATTGCAAATAAACTCAATGTAATTAAAAGATGTTCTGTGAAAGAACAGCTGTCATCGACTCATTTTTTAATGCTTAGTAACTATAATAACTTGACTTTAGTCCTGTCACAAACTTCACAATTGGCAAGTAATTGTGAACCACCTTTACTCTAGTAAAGGAAGCACTAAAAACACACCTGCTAGGTGTCTGAGATGTTTTTGAGATAGTTCAATGTTTCTACCATCCTTACTGCCAGCCCCCTAGAATCCTGACCACTTAGGAGTCCAGTGACCTGCAACTGAAGTCTTGTACAAACAAAAAGCTGTGTGTGTCTATTCACCTCATCCGTCCTTCTTACTCTCCACAACCCTTCAAGTGAGCCTCAGGAAAAATAAAAAGAAAACAAACAAACAAAAAACAAAAAGCTACCTACAGGTTCATTGTTATTTTAGTTTTGACAAAAAACAAAACAAAACACTCCACAAAGAACAGAGATACAGAGAGTAAAACAACTGTCCTTCATGTGTCACTCATCTGAACTAAAAGACTTCCAAAAAAAAAAAAAAAAACTATTCAAGGCTTAGTATAAGAAGGCTATGTAACAGCCACATTTTACGTTTTAAGACTTATTTGCTAAAGAGTTTTAAAATCTGGAATACACAGATATTCAATTTTATATATAAAGATATTTTGCCTCCTAGCCTAGTCTTAATTTAATTTCACTGTTTGCACATGGTTTTTTAATCAAAGCACTTGGGAGGCAGCAGACAACTGACACATGTGTCACTGGAGGCACAGAATGGTGTACATACAAAATTCTAGGCAAGGGCTACATAGAGAGATCTTGTCTTCAAAGAAAGAAAGAAAGAAACAGAAAAACCAAAGCCTAACCAAACACACTAAAAAAGAAGAGCAAAACATGTAAGAAACAATAAGTCAAAGGGGAAAAAATTATATCCTTAACCTTCAAATTATACTACTACATGCTTCTTTAAGTACATCCACATTTGAAATGAGAATCATAACTAAAATACAGAAAACAGCTTAATTAATTCTTAAATAACATGAACACAAATTTGTTAGTGACTTTAAATCACTAACTACTAGCTCTTTAAGTATTTGTGTACAATGAATCTAGCATTTAAGTATGCCTTCTTCCTGAACATATTCACTGAAATTCATTTTCCTGCATTAATATCTTATATTATTTTAATTCTCAAAAACATCAATGTGAGTAACTTGTTACACAGTTAAGTTTATGAAAGTATAACCTATCATTCAGCTGTAAAGCTCCTGTAAGAAACTCAAAACATCCATGACAGAGGAAATACCTCTAAAGATGTGGGTGACTGCTTACTCAAGGTCACTTAGCCAGTGAGCAGCACAAGGCGAGACACCAACCTTTCGGCCTGAACATCAGGTTCAAGCTTTCTCCACTATATAATTCGCCTTCTATTAGCAACACAGTGAATATTCAGTGACTCTGTTCAGGAGGAAGGCATAAAGTTAAATGCTAGATTCATTGTACACAAATACCTAAACAGGTTTCAGTTGATCCAAATCTGTTTTCAATATTTTAAACAATTTTGTATATTTTGCTATTTCTTTCATTGAGAGAAATAAATATAGGTTAATAGCTAATTACATGAGATCTGTAGGTAAAACAGCAGGGATAAGGAAAATAGATGAAAAAGTAACTAGTGAGGGAAAGATCTGAAAAGATCAAATGATTAGTATAGATACTAAATTTCTCATCTGATTTTTAAATGTACTTTTATTTGGAAGAGATTAATCAAGGTCAGAGTTCAGTACACTGACACTCAAAACTGTGTGTCTCAAAGGATTAAATAGAAAAATGAGTTTCAAAATGTTTTGTCACAGAACATCTGTAAACCATGTACATAAGTTAAATGAGTGTTAACCAACATTCCCTTCCTCAGCAAGGTCTTTGAAGACAAGGCCGGGACTAATTTAATTTTCTACTGCCTAGAGGAGTAACAATACTAGTCCCAGTTATTTTTCAAACAAGGACTGCAAAACTGGAAATGTGTTGGGATTCCTGTTTTGTAGGTCACCGAGCAAATAAAATGTGCAGTAAAAATGAAAATACATTTTTAAGAATAACAAAGTTGTCTAATATCAAATACACGAGTTAGGGTAAGTCTGAAGGCAAAACAAGGTAAAGAGCATTGTAACTATAGTACTAGATGAGGAGAAATATCAAGATTGCTTCTTCCCTTCCATAATGAATATTGTGATAAAAAAACAAGTAAGCAAGTAATCATATTCATCAAAGATCAACTGTTTCCACAATTACATTGCGGGATTCAAATGGTTCATCAATACTCCATATCACGTAAAGTAAAACACTACATATAATTTAACTTGACTTAGATGTACGTAACTCTCAAGCGGCAGGTAAGAAACAAATTTTAAAATACTTGTTTATGTAAAATAATACAAAACCATGCAGCTTTACAAAACCACCACTACAAAGTACTCCTGTCTCTGTTAGGCTATCAATACTCAAAAACAGCGAGTTGAATTTAGCATTTTGCTGTGTGAGACACTGTGTAAAATGGTTCCACAAGGTATTTAATACACACACTCAAGTCATAGAAGTTATCCCCCCATATAACTGAACACAAGTGAAGAAACCGAGGTACACATAGGTTAAAGAATTTGCCCATGGAATTTATGCCCAATTAAGATTAACGATTTGCAGTTTTTCAAATTAGTGAGTTAAATACATATGAGTTTAAGATTTTTGTAAGCATGTACAAACAGCAGTTACAACTCTCAATTCAGCATAAAAACCTGTAATCACCAATTCAATTTTGAACAAACTAGTTTTTAAGCTTTAAAAATGTCCTAGGTCTAAGGTCCCTTGCACTGCTACTGGAAGGTTGCAGTTACCGACACCCGAAATCCTCGCCCTTCCATTTTCTCTGTCCCCCTTTCCCATTTGTAAATCAAATGACATAAGATTCTCAACAGTCAATAGCTAACTTGATTAAAACGTGTAACTTATAAACTCATGCACTTAATTATTTTAATTTCGGCATAACTCTACCGAGCAATTTAAAATATTTATGCTCCTGGCAATCTTTTAAGGCCTCTAGTAGTTCAACGCAGTAATTCAGATCAATCTAATTTTAAGAATGAAGCACTACCTCATATACTGCTTGGTAAAAAGAACTACACATCTAGTGTGGTCATATAAAATGCAAGTGGCACAGTCACGTCTTCATCCCGACGGCAAAAATGAACGTGACGATTTAGGAGGGTGCGAAAGGCTACCTTGTAGGTGACTCGCAAGCTAGTTAATAGATAGGGTCGGGCAAAGACACTCTTCAGGGCTAGTAAGTGCTGTTGGTTTCCTCGCGGGGAGGTGATGGAAGCCTGGAAGCGATAGGCTGACAAAGGGGGCGCAGAAGGCAGAGGGCATACAGCCTGCACAGGGTGACTTCGGGCGTGGGCTGGCGGCCACAGGCTGCGGAGCCGCAGGAGCCCGGCCGCCAGCGGCGTGACATCTGGCGTGCCGAGCCGGCAGGGGGCAGAGCAAGCGGGGTGTCACGTGGAGCGGGTGCTACGGGAGCCGGGAGGGTAGTGCGGATCAGAGGGGGGTCTTCCCCAAAGCCTCAAAGACTGTTACTCACTGGAGTCGCTGACTCTTCTTGCCCTGAGCAGGAGACGGGGGCTTCGCGGCCGTGAGCTGCTGCCCGGGGGCGTCGGGAGGCCTGTTGCTGGGGCTGCTCCTCCGCCGGCGGGGATACTCGGCCTTCCTCCGGCGGGACACAGCGGCGGCGGCGGCGGCGGCAGCGGCCCGGCCGCGGTCCCGACCTCCCCTCAGCACGCGGCTGCTCGCGGTCCCTGCGGGCGCCGCCGCCGCCGCCGCCGCAGCGCCGGGCCGGAGCTCGTCCGAAGCCGCGTCGGCCGCCGCTGCCTGGCCCCTTTCCTGGTCCTGCTGCTCCGGGGATCGCGGCTCCTCCGTCTCCCCCGGCATCGGGGCTCGTCCGTCCCCCACCCCTGCTTCCCAGGCGGCGGAGGCGGCGGCGCCCGCGGCGCAGCTCCCCCCGGCCCCCTAGGCTCCCGGAGAGTCCGGCTCCCTCACTCCCGAGCACCTCTCTCCCCCCGCCCCTCCGCCCGCTCCTAAGGGCGCCCCCCCCACCGCCTGCCACTCAAGCCTGCGACCGCCGGCGGTGCGCACGCGCGCACCCGCACGGACAAGCAGTGGGCCAATCGGGGAGGAGGGTCGGCCTCCTGGATCCGCCCCTCAAGGTCTCACACGCAGTAGCGCCCTAGGTGCCCTCCCCCACCCCTCCTTTCAACCAATCAGGAAACGGCTCCGAGGGAGAGCGCGAGGTTTCCTTCCCCGCGCACCCGTTCTCACCGTTAAACGGCCGCGTCTCGCGACAATCCCAAAGTGACCTTTTTTTACCCCTCTGAGGAGCTCAGCTCAAGCTAGGGGCGGCGGGAGGGGCAGGGCTGGCGAGGGCGGCGGAGAGGACGAAACGCACCTTTCCCGGCTTCGCGCGCACCCCTCCCGCCGGCTGCGCGCGCACCTGCCTCCCTGAGGCGCCACTGTTCCCTCAAGGGCTCTTACTAGCCTAACAAGTAGCCTGGCCGTCGTCCCGCTTCCGCCCGGACCCCCACCTTCCTGCTCTGGCCTTTCTGTCCCCAGCGCCGCCAGCTCCTGAGGGAGAAGGGGTAAATGATTTGAGTTGCCGCTTCTCCTTTAAGAAAAAAAGGCCCCGTCCGTTGCCGGATGAAAGTCTCTGAAAAAATGGCGGCGATAGGCTAGAGGCGGGGCTAAGGGAACAGCGCGGGAGAGTCCTGGCGCGCATGCGCACGGCTGACTTCGCCAACTGCATCCTGGGAAACGAAGTCCCACTTAGTCCGCTTCCAGGGAAAAGATGGGAAACCGGAGGCCAGAGAGAAGTCTGGGAGTTTTTGAGAGATTCACCACGGGAAAGGTAGTTTTCTATCCGCAGTCCGAGTCTACGGCCTAGAGAGGTACTGCTTCCGGGTCAGGCCGCCACGCGTGCGTACAACTGGCACGCATTTTGAGCCAATTATTGGTTAGGGCTGCTGGAGAGAGTGAGTACTTCATGCTGTGAGGCATAAGTTCTTCGAAGTGCCCTGGTCACAGTCCCCGCTTTGGTTTGGCCGCTTGACGTCTTCTCTGCGACCTGCAGGCATCCCTCCATCTGGTGGTGATCCTCTCACCCGTGAGGCCCTGGAGGTCAGGGACTCGTTCTGCTTCTGCCACCTCAATTTTAATAAAGCGCGTGGGGAAGAATTGTGAAGTTATTTCCTAGTGGGATCGGGCATCACGGAGCTGGCGTTGGCTGTGGTCCTTGAGCTGGAGAGAGGGTTAGCGTGACTCCTAGTGATTACGTCTCTCGTGTTCTCCGCCCCGACATTGCAAGCATGCCTTTGCGGTTTGTAGCTGCTTTCTGCAGCACAGGAAGCACAGTCAGAAGAGCAGCTTCTGTCTAGCGTGTGCAACTAAGAACCTTCCTGATGGGCAAAGGGGGGGCCGGGGGATTTCCATTTGTTCAAGCCGCAGCTGGTAATTGTGCGGCCTCGGTGTTCCTTTCCCTCTTACACATTGTAGGCATTTCTTTCCCTTTTGTACATTGTTTGCATTCCTTACTTTCCTTTTTACACATTGTAATCGGAACAATTTACAAGAGTACTCTTTACCCCTGTCTGTTGAAACATCCCCAGTTAAAGTTTACACAAGAGGATGGAAATACAATGTTTGGAGATCTAATTCTGAATTTCACATTAAACTGTAAGTGTGCAGTGAAATTCATTTTTCTTTCCAGCATTTGGCTCACTTGCCACACAGATAAAGCAAATGCTTTGTTGTCTATATTGAGGCTTTGGCTCTTTCAAAGGACTAGTGTCATTGTCAGTTGTAAAAACCGACAGTGTCAGTAGGAAAGAATTTTCAATCTGTATTTGCAATGAGCACGTTTGGAACAGCACTGACTTCCAATGGCTTCTTAAAGTAATACAAAAAGCAAGCTCTTAAAAAGAGATCTTAGTTCAGTTTGTTGTTCTCTTCAAGTTTTCTCAAGAGCCAACATACTCGTTTCTACAGTGGTTGTGCCAGTTTATATTTCTAACAGTGATGTATCCTATAGCCCTTAATTATGTGTGTATAGTCTGTCATATGTTTTCACATAATCTTATTTTTATTTCTTTTGTTTTTTCTCCTAAAATAAAATTTAAAATGTTCAAAACAAGAGGTCTTAGTAAAACGAATGATTTATTCCTTTAAACAATCACTACAATGTAGAAGAAAGATAACATACTGAAGTAAAACGGGATTGTATACTAAGTAGCAAGACCGTCACTTTATTTTGTTCTTTTAGACAGTTACTATTCCGTGTGCCTGTTTCTCTACTAATTAAACACCAGGACAAAAACCCACCTTAATTATAGTTCTTTACATACTGACTTCTCAAGGTGGACCTGTAACAAATGATTTTTTTTCCTTTTGAGATGAACTAAGACTTGGTGATAAGATAAAGCATTGACCTAGCTCAGTTTTTGAAGAAGTTATCACAAGGCAGTATGAGTAATTCAGATTTTGGTACCTAACATGGTGAACTGTCTGGATTGACTCTTTCTTGGCCTGTAGATGTTTGCATTTTGAATAACTGTATAACCTGTACTAGAGAATTCAAAAATGAACTCACTTCTATTCAACTTTAAAGAATTTATACTCTGGGCCAGTGGGCTGCTCAGCAGACCACAGTGCTTTGCTGACCAGTCTGATGAGTTTGCTCTGTGGGACCCAGCTGGTAGAAGGAGAGGCTTGACTCACACAACTCAGTGTCTGCACAGATGCACTCACACTCACACACATACACACAAACTCACATGCACACAAATGTACTTTTAAAAAGTTTTATTTTAAAATTACAGTTCGTTGGGGAAATCAGTTCAGCATGACTTCTGAATAAGAAAACAGAGAATGAAATGAAGTTGGTGCTGTTTAATCAGAAATTTTAAGGAGCCTATGCTTCCATGGTCCTCTGGGAAGGGGGGAAGCCAGTAGTGGGCAGTGGGATACTTAAACTTGGAAAAACTAAGCCCTCGAATGTGGTAGGTGTTTTACATTTTGAAAAATCAACTTTCATCCTTTAAACCACCTTGGCCAATGTAGCATCAAAACCTCAGTCTTGCACAACCTCTCTTTCTCTGTCAGCACTATTTTAAAAAACTGAACTACTAGAAAAGAAAAAGAAAAACTCAACAAATCAAAAGTGAGGAAGTGCTAAGCAAATACAGGAACCAACAAGGGTCATAGAGGCTGCCTTGCACTGTCTCATTCAGTTCCGTTGTGGTCCCCTTCTTTACCACATGCCAAAGCAGTTCTTCACAATCGACAGGACTAGAGCATCGCGGGTGCGAGACAATGGAAGAGCTGGGTGAGTGAGGGGCTTTGGAAGATGCTCTAAGGAAGTGTGGACTTGGTTTCTCTCCATCCCATGTGTGATGAGAGTTTTGGCTGAACCAAGGATAGTGCTAACAGATTTTGTGTTTACTTCTGTCCTCAGTTCAAATAAGAGTGATGAAGGAGGAACTATGATTGTTGGGGGAACTATGGGGTCCCTGTTTGCAGAGGCACAGTAGACAGATGGTAGAGAGCTAACTACAGAACAGACGCTCTGAGAAGGACTTTTAGAAGGAAATGTAATTGAAAGTGGTTTTTCCTTTGGTAGCTACTGGAGATCATAGAGTGGCTCCACAGCTAGGTGACTGTGGAAATAGGAGGAAAAATCATATTGGGAAAGGGAGAGGAAATAAACTGAAGGAAAGAAGGGAAGGAAGAAAAGAGAAAAAAAAGAAAGCAGGAGGGAGAGTACAGGGGAAGACAATGAAATAACAATGCAGAGTAAAGGGTCTGTAGAGGTTACAGAGGCATCATTACTGTAGTGGTTCTTGTTTTTTTATTTAGAAAAATCTTGAAGGAACAGATTACTTAGGCAGAAATACAGCCATTACTTCTACTCTGAGGTCATGTAACCAACAGTGGAAGTGTTAACAGCTGCCATGCCCAGAGAAATCAGAGATTTCAAAGCTTTGGAGCTGGAAAGTCTGCCTCCTTAGGATTCATTTCATACACCTTGGCAAATTTATTTATTTATTTATTGGTTGGTTGATTGAGTTATTGTATCCTTAACATCAAGCCACTAACTTTCACTGTTTTCAAGTTATGTTAATTCCACATTGTCTCTGTGTTTGTAGCTATTCGAAAACTGCCAGCAATAACAAAATGTATGCATTTGTACATTGTCTTTTAAAAGAATTATTGGGGTTGTATTTTAAGGGCTGGAGAAACAGAGGAAGAAGGGGAGAGAAATTAATTACAGAAAAAGGAGATGTTTAATAAATGCTGAATTGTTTTGGCAAGAAAATTTGGCAAATATTTTGATACTGTGGTAAAAGCTGTATTTTGGACTTTGGTGTAGAATCCAGATTTTTCTATATGATATTGGTTATTTATTCTTTGAGAATTTGATGCATGCATGTCCTGTGTGGGTAGTGAGGAAATTTTCATTTCTCCATGGAATTTTACCAATACTTTTTAGAGAGGATCTTATTTTGCTTTATCTTATGGATATTGAATTTTCATTCAAATTTAGTTCAAAAAGTTAAAACACAATTACTATGGGGAAAACTTAAAAGATATTGATCACTTTAGTGTTTACAGCAACCTTTTGAAATAGGTTTTTTTTTTCTTTAAATAAAGACAAAATATCTGTTCACTCTTAGGAGCTTCGGACACTAAGAGCAATTAAATGACAATGCTATAAGTTGTTTTTCTATGTTAGAAGTGTGTTCTGGTGGCCAATGGAGTAGTAACATTTTTAAAAATATATTTTTTATGTTTTCTGAGTAGAATAGTTGTTAGGGAAATTTTGTTCAGAGATGTAGAAAGTATGCAGCTTTGAAAGTTCACTGTGCAAATTATCCAGGTAGCTGCACGTCAAAGGACTGCTGATGACTTCACCACAATGGTCTCTTTAGATTGTCACCATTCGCTTGGAGTGTGGTGTTGCCTGCCCTTAATCCCAGTACTCTAGAGATGGAAGCCGGAGATTCTGAAGCTTAAGGTTATTTCTGGCTGTTAGAAAATTTGAGGCCAGCCTAGACTACATAAAAGCCTAATCTCAAAAAAAAAAAAAAAAAAAAAAAAACAGACATGGGAGGCAGAAGCAGTCAGATCTCTGTGAATCTGAGGCCAGACTGATGTACATAGTGAGTTCTGGGACAGCTAAGGCTATACAGTGAGGCCCCATTTCAAAAAACAAAATGAAACAAAAGGCAGGAAGTGTCTGCCAAGCACAATAGTTTACACTCATGATCCAAGCTCTAGGGAGGCTAGGTTGAAGAACTGCTCAGAGTCTGAGGCCAGGCTGTGCTGGAGCTAGTTCCAGGTTGCCAGGGCTAGAATGAGATCCTGCCTTAAAAAAACAGCAATGGACCAACTAGCTAACCCCAAAGACTTGGAGTGGAGTTTTCTTTCTACTTCTATAGAAATTGTATCAAGGATAGGCTGGCTCAGGTGGGCAGACGCTTCCTCTCTGCCTTACTGCTTTGAATGTCAGTAGCATGTATTCACCCAGAAGGTTTATGTAGAGCTCTGCAGTTTAGGGATGCAATCATTATAACCTGTAGAGACTCACAAGAGACTTTATTTGTGGGTGAAGGTTGATACTTGATTTCCACAGGTCAAGGACTAAGAAGAACTGCAGTTTTCAGTCTAGTTTCACTCACCCCAGCAATCTTATATTTGTCATACCAAAATTAGTCATCTAATTTAAATTATAGAATCTGCATGAAGCAAAAAGAGTAGCCTCAGAGTAGTGGTGAAATGTGCACTCATTGGAAACAGGAAGTGAAAGTTCTGTTAACTCAGGAACAGAAAGGAGAGTTTTAACAGATTTATCAAGCTGATGCTTCCAAAGATTGCTTCATACCAGGGGAGGGCCTAGGTCCTGCCCCAAATGTTGTGACAGACTTTGATGATCCCCCATGGGGGGGGCCTCACCTTCCTGGGTAGTAGAGGGGGTGTGGGATGAGGGATTGGTGGGGGAATGGGAGGACAGGAGGAAGAGAGATTTGGGATTGGTATGTAAAATTACATTGTTTTTAATTTTTAAAAATTTACTTAAAAACAACAAAAAGATTGCTTTATACCTCTGCTGAATGGTACTCCTGTCCCATAGTCTTTAATATAAATGGATTCCATTGATCCAGGAAGGTCTCCAACTTCTGGTTGGATCAAAGCTTAGAAAATAGAAAAGAGAATGACTCTATTTTAACAGATGTAGAGTAAAATGTTTGGATTCTGAAATTCACAGTTGAGTCTGGCTAATAAAATTCTGAGATAAAACTTTTGCTTTATTTTTTTCTTGCTCTAAAGAAAATCCCTTTCATTGCAGAAAACTTAAAAATATACAAAATATAGAAAACATTTTAATGGAACCTAAGTCTTCTGATCAGTTTCCACAATCATCAGCTCCTGGCAACCTTCCTTCATATTGTTTTCAAGAAACTTAAGATATTAAATTTCTTTCTATTTTAAATAAAGATGCCAAGGTTGATCTCAGCTTTTCTGTGTCTGTATGTCCTAGTGTTTGTCCTTTCTTCATTCCTTAACACCTCAGATAGATCAATCCCAGAAGCTACATGGAGCAAAGCAATAACTGTGTCACTTTTGTGTGATTTTATATACATAAAGCCTTGAGGTTAGGGGCCAGCGCTTTCCCGTTTGCCTTTTGCCTTTGCAGCCTTCCTGCGTAGGTCTGTGTCTGCCTATCAGTACCCTGTGTGTCTGTGTTTGTATGTGCAACTTGTGTGTACCAAGGTATGCCTGGGTGCCTGCTCAGTGAACTCCGTGCTGGTCAACAAACTGAGTCTTATCTAGACATTAAATTTCTTATCCGTAAAACATTGCAGCCTTAATATATTACATAAATATGTATATATTTATAAAGACAACCACACTAACGCTATCACACTTACAATAGCTAATAACCTTAATGGTTGCTCCTCAAGGTAATGAAATGACATTATCATAGCTAAAATTAACTAAAGTTAATTTAATGTTAATATTTTCAAATTCCTAAAATGCTGGTATTTAATATTATTGACTATACAGTGCTAAATAGTCTTTAAAGTATTTTAAAATTTTATTATTTTGTCATCTGTCTTTTTATGCATATAAGACTCATGCTAAACACTGAATTCTGATTTGCCCCAAAGGATTTATTTTTGTACTTGCCTTTAAGTTTTTGATTGCAGGTTCAGCAAAATCTCACAGAAATACCATCTTCACTGCTTTAGTTTTTAATTAAAGTTATGATTTAAATTGAAATTAGTTATATGTCTCTTAGGTCTCTTTTTATTATATATATGCCCCTTCTTTTTTTCTTGTCAGTTTATTTATTGAAGGACAGTCTGGCCTAAAGAGATTAGTCCAGTTAGGCTATTTCTGAAATGGTGTACTAAGGTCAAACCTTTGTGATATGGATGATTGAGAAAGTTCTGCAGAACATTTCTTTTGTGAAAACAAATGATTAGATCTTCCTTACAATATTGAGAAATATTCAACCTTAATCTGGGGCATGTGGCTTAGTGGCACATTTGGTCTAGTGTAAGTAAGTTCCTGGGCCGGGCGTTGGTGGTGCACGCCTTTAATCCCAGCATTCGGGAAGCAGAGGCAGGCAGATCTCTGTGAGTTCGAGGCCAGCCTGGTCTACAAAGCGAGTTCCAGGACAGCCTCCAAAACAATACAGAGAAACCCTGTCTCGAAAAACCAAAATAAATAAATAAATAAGTTCCTGGGTTCAGCATTGTAAAGAGGAAAGACCGTTTTTGAGCTGCTCTATGATGTCACACCCATGTAATTCCTCAGAAGTGGAGGCAGGAAGATTATGAATTTTAGGCCAGCCTGGCCTACTTGGTAAATTTCAGGCCAAGTTGCTCTGTGGTAGCCTTTCTTAAGAACTGGGCAGACCGCCGGGCGTTGGTGGCGCATGCCTTTAATCCCAGCACTAGGGAGGTAGAGGCAGGTGAATCTCTGTGAGTTCGAGGCCAGCCTGGTCTACAGAGCCAGTTCCAGGACAGCCTCCAAAGCCACAGAGAAACCCTGTCTCGAAAAAACAAACAACAAAAAACAAACAAACAAACAAAAAAACTGGGCAGACCAACCCCAGTTCCCTTTCCCTCCTGTCCTCAAAATTGTTTTTAATTTAAATAAAAATTAATTTAAAAAACCAGGCAGACCCAAATCCCATTGTCTCTTAACATGAAATACGTGAACATGCTTTTTCTAATGGCATGATAAATTAATTTTCTTTGACAATTCCAGAGCTAGGCAGGTCCTTAGAAATCACATAATGTAATGCTTTGCAAGCTTATAAAAACTAACATATATTTTAAAAATCCACTGAAGTTCAAAAGACACTAAATTATCTTGAATTATAATTTGAAAATATTGTTCCATCCAATTGATTCATTATGTAAATTAAGAGAGACCTTCAGAGAACATGCTGTGCTTAAGATGACTCAGACAATCTGGTGATGATGGCAACTCCAACTTACATGTTGGTGTGGCTCAGATAGCTCCCCTGGAGCTCTGATGCTGCACTCAAGAGCCTGTGAGAACTGCATACACACTCTCTCTCTTGTATATGAAATGAGGACAGTGATGCCCTCTACCTCAAAGTGTTAGGATAACACATCATACACTGTGATTGCATAGACTAATAATTTTCATTAATCATTATGATTAATGACATTACAACAAGAAGGTATGCTTTTGAAGTCTATTGGCATTTTCCCAAGGAAACAGCAAATGAGGTCCCAATTATTTGGATTGCTACATCTTGCTTGATCATACAATACTTTAATTTTTTCAGCTTCTTTTCCTTTCTACATTCAAACAGACTAACAACACAACAACAAAACACTAATGCTTGACAGTTTTTTTCTTGTTGCCATATTCTTGGGCTAATCATTCAGATATTAGACTGAAACAATCAGGGTTAATATTTTGCCTCCCTGCTGTGTGGGATGAACTGTATGAAAGAATAAAAAATATTTTTGCTTCTTGGGTCTATTCTGGAAAACCTTATTTGATTTGTAATACGAAATACATAAGTTTTCTTGTGTGTGTGTGCGTGTGTGTGTGTGTTCTACCCAACTGGTTAAAAACCAATACCTAGAAGTCAAATTATAAGAAGTCAAATTGTAGGGAGCCTATGATTGAATGCAACCATAGGAAATATCAAATGGGCCATAATTTCCCCAGACATATCCTAGGACATGCCACACTCCTGAAGTGTGGGGTATGGAGGGAGGCAGGTATTTACAAATTGTTATCCAAAACAAAAAGAGAATATTTAAGAAGAAAATAACTCTGGAGATTCACAAATGCTATATTAAGCTCCTTTTGTGTCCTGTGGTATAGATGCCTTATTGGAGGAATTGGAACGCTCCACCCTCCAGGACAGTGATGCATATTCAAACCCAGTTTCTTGTCACCTGGATCAGCAATCCAAACAGGAGAGCAATCTTCCCAAAACTCCAAAGACCTTGTCATCTCAGAGTCACACAAATCCCTTGAAGGTAACATTTCATCTATTGTAGTATTATAGATAATGCTTGACTGTATTTCTAAAAATTGTATTCCACATAAAACTAAGGGAGCAACATATATTCTGGACAGAAAAAAGTATCATTTCAATGTTAAAGACAGTTGCTTTTGGAAAGAGGCGACTTGAGGACATGACCACAGAGTATGCCTTTGAAACTCTCTTCTTCTAGAATATTGCCTGGTTCATGCTGGCTACTATGATATTGCTCCCTGGCTACCACAAGTGCCATGTTACAGTGTGACTGGAGTGATACCCAATAAGATCAGGGATAACCTCATATTTTAGACTAGTCTTCTTGGGGTGACTGTACAACTATTCCTTCATTGGTCTTATTTTCTGCTGAGTAGATTGAGAGAGCGATTGTTGAAATTCTTAGACTACAGACATAGTATCCTCATGTTCTCCTGCACAGATAATTGCACTTTATTATCACATGGCAGCCTCATAGAGACCTGACTTAGCACAGACTATAGCAGTCTTCTGCCCTCACTCTCCCAGTGATTTTCCATTTCATTTAGAAGGCACAGTGTTGGCACTGATCTTTGTGGATGACCACATCTTTGTTTACATCAAAGAGACCTGAGCTTTTGCTTATTTTCCTGACATCTCACTGATTTCCTTTCATATAATATTTTCAATTGTTCTTAAAGTTTTATTATTAGCATTTGCATAAATATATTAATATGATTATGACTAACTCCAAAGGTGATTAAGAATGACTCTCCCTGATCTTGTTCAGACAAAACCTCAGTAACATGACCCTGTAACGAACAGTATTCAGGGAGATGACTATGAAGTCTAAGAGTGAAAACATGAGCTAACTCCTCCGGTATTAGGTAATAGCAGAAGAAATATGCTGGCCACTTGGTATGCTGCCAATCACAGCCTGCCATCTGGGGTCAGTAAGTGATAAGAAAACATACTTAATGACATAAAGATGATGTTCAAGAAATAGAATTTAGTATTCTTGTTCATCACAAATGTTATATTGTGAATGTTACTAAAGTATTTTGTAATTGTATTTGTAAATTTCTAAGTGTTTTATTTTTCTTAGCACTTAAGACGTCTTAATATTATTAACTTTTTGTCAGTTGGATTAAAGCAAAACAGAAACAAACTCTTCAGGTTTTATTTTGTCAAAGGAGTTATAAGGACTGTGTAATTTGCATAAAACTTCTTTTGATTTCTAGTCACCAGTGGGAATAAGGATATCACCATCCCTCTGAAAATTAAGACAAAAAAGGTGAAGAACTAACATGTACTTTCGATTTAGTATTTCACTTCAGAAGTGTGTTCTAAAGATAACAGTTCATGCACAGCTGCAAAGTGTGTTTGTAGATCACTGTGAAATACATGTTTCCACTTCTAGAAAACCACTCTTGTAAACATTTTTTGCTTATTTTCAATTCCACATTTCTGTCTGCTTATAACTAAAGTGGAAGGAGTAGATTCTCTTTGAAAACTATCAAATAATGTGAGTCTTAAATCACTGTCATCAGAGGTGTCAGTTAGAAAATTAGAGCATTCCAACCTCTTTTATTTATTTTTTACCCAATATACAGCATCAAAATAAAACCCCTGGAAGTTAATTTTCCTGTTACAAATAAAACAAGCAACACTAGTAATGCCAGTACAGTGAGTTGAAAAAGTATTGAAGATAGAAAAATTTTCCAGTAAAAATAAGAAAAGAAACTTAGCGGAACACAGCATCATGGTAATATATTCTTACCAACTTAAATCCAGCAGAGCAGAAATGAATTTGAAGCTGGTTGTAAAGTGCACAGAATTCTTGACTTCATCAAAACAAACAGCAGCATTCTGCCCACAAAAACTAAAATTATCAAGACTGGCAAATGTCATGCTAGTCATTTTTTTCCTTAGGAGCGACATGAAATACAATTTAAGCACAGCTATATTGATTTTTCTCTATGTGCTTGATCTTGTTCTCTGGATTTTGGAAATGTCCTACCCTCATTTCGTAAAGCTTAGGTTGCACTGTGTGCAAAATCAGCTGGAGAGTTGTAATCAAATTATTCAATCAATGTAGAATGAAAAAAGTTTTTCTTAACAATCTGAAGCATGTACAGTTGAGTTTAACAAAAGGAAGCAGCTCTATTTTTATCTCCCAGCAAACACCAAGAGATGATAGCTCATGCAGCTCAATTGCTTAATTTGAAATTGTGCTTCTGAAAAATCTTGACTTTGATGGCTTTTTAAATTTTATTTTATTGGATACATTTATAAACCAAAATTTGATAAAATTATGGAAGTCAATGATTTTGCTCTCACCCATCCCTTACAAGAAGCACAAATAGAGACAACTTCAAAGTTTGCACTTATTAGAATGTTAATGGAGAGAGATGCTGTGAATGGAGGTGGCTAAGAGAAGACTCATGGGAATATTGTCTTGGACAAAGGAAGGCAGAAGGCCTGGGGGCAGGCGACAAGACAAGAGAGGTAATGGGATGGACAGAAAACAAATATTGCATTTTAGGTTATATATTTTTAATGTATTCTATATATGATATAAGGACAAAACTGAGACTTGTGGAGTAGAATTAACCAGAGGGTGGGCTAAGGGGACCAAGGAGGATGGTGGGAAGGCAAATACAATTGAAGTACATTAATATACATGTATGAAAATGCCCTACTGAAGTCCATTATTTTGTGCAGTAAGAAAATTAATTAAAAGAAGATATTTTCCTGAATGTATTTGCACATCTTAGTAGAGAAACCAGAATTGAGAATATGTTTCATAGAGCAGAGTGTGCCCTGAATGTCAGGTTCATCAGCATTATAGAGATCACATCTCTACTAAAAGCACTATGCCCTAGAGAGAAACCCAAGTTAAAGATAACATCAATTATCAGATCTACTAACCAAAAATATAGCTTTGGAGAACATTACAAATTTAAAAAGTGACAAAAAATAAACAAATTTAAAAAGTGACAGTATAATATATATTAACAAAAATCAGCATTTTAAAGGAAAATTCCTAAATCCAAATGTTAGAGCCAACAATAACCAAGTCAGCGATTAGAGTATGTGACTATATGTTTTGTTTAAAAGTTTTCTTATGATGTTTTAAATGTTTAAGTAATCAAAAAACACTTAAGAAGCTTCCCATCATGTTATAGCTATATGTTGTTTTAAGTTATTTTTGGGAAATCTGTAGAAAATAAGTCCCCCAGGCATGGTGACTTGCGTTTGTTATCCCAGCTATTTCAGGAGGACCAGAACTTCGAGACTAGCTTCATAAGTTTGATGCTGGCCTGGGCTACAGGAGACTCTGACTGAAAAAAGTAAAGAATAAGGAAAAATAAAATAAGGAAAAGAGATTTTGAACACAATTATTGTTATTTCTATTGTGATTCTTTTGAGCCATTTACCATGTAGCTCAGGCTGGCCTCAAATCTTGCCTCAGCTTCTCAAGTGCTGTGGTTGGTTAAAGGCATGAAGGCATGAGCCACCACATCCGACCATGATTAGAGTTACTTTGTAGGTCCACCAATACAACACAATCAAGTTTTTTGGCTGGTAATATGTATTTCATTAGGGAACCATAGTACATATATTTGTAATATCAGTACTGATAAATATGAGACAGAAGCTTGAGTTCTGGAGTAGATTACACAATCTCTCTTTGCCCTCTGTCACACTCTAACATTTTAAAGGTAGAGATTAAATAACTTGACTTAATTCCACCCTCCCCTCTTCCCCTTATAAGTGTCTCACTTTGAGCTGAGTAAATGTGTGATTATCACCTGCAGATCCAGCCCGTCTCCCTGCTTCACTGCACAGGCCACACAGACCTCCTTGTTGCTCAACAGTCCTTCCCCTTCATCCTTTGCACATGGTTCACATTACCCTGATACCTGATTGCTTTTCTTACTCCATAAGTAAGTCATTGCTCAGGTGTCATCTAGTGAGTTTTCCTCATCAATGCATTTATAACTGCTGCTATCTCTACACTTCTTATTTTTCTACTCCTTGATTAACTTTTATATCTACTTCTTGCAAATAGAATGGAGTATTCCATTTTTGTTGAGTCTCAAGTAAGCTAGGCTGACTTCAAGTTTATTGTGTAGGGAAGGATGAGTTGAATTCTTGATCTTTTGTCCATATCCCAAATGCTGGCATAACAGGATTGCACCACCACACCAGGTTTATACAGTGCTTGGAGTAGACTCTAGGGCCTCATGAATTTTAGGCAAACACCCCACCAACTGAACTACATCTTCATTCCCCAGAGTATTTGGTTTTAGTGTGATTGTTTTATGTTGTGTTTGGATATAACATCCAAAGCTCTAGAACATACAAATTACTCAGTATATCTCTTCAGTGAATAAATAGATGAACTGCTGTCCCGCAACATCTTTGGTTGACACATTATTACTTATCTTAAGGAAAGCTTGAGCTACAGCCTTCCCCTAGGCATTACTGTGTTTAAAGGGCTTTCCCCCAAGCCACCACATTGTTTTTATGCTTCCTAACTGAGGATGATACAGCTCTTTATATCTGTTTTTAAAGCAGAGAGGGTAGTGCTTGTTTTGTTTAGAATTTGATTTTTCACTACATGGTGGGAGGTAAGTCTGCCTTTGCAAACATTTAAGCAATAGACTAGTTATTACTTTTATTGCTTATTATTGTTATTTGTTTTGAGAAAATGTCTTAATATTGTGCTTAGCCTAATATACTCATGCTTCTTTTCCCTCGGCCTCCCAAGCAGCTTGGATTACAAGAGTGTACCACCATGCCATTCTGGTTATCCCCTTTGGAAGCTGGAGTCCTCCCTCCCTCTCTGTGTTGATAAGCACCACCATTCTAATATAGATGTCATTCTTTTCTCTTTCCTGTCACTTATGTCTCATGTGCAGCTCGTGTATACGACCAATATCCAAGAGCCCAATGTCTACAGGTATGTTTTGGTTTCTAATAAATTATTTCAAATTTTCAAGTTATCAGGTAATTATTATTAATATTTACAATAATTTGGTTTTCAAATATTATAATTGGACTTCCTCCATAGTATGTCCTTCCCACAGCCTTTGAACAGAGGCAGAACCCTTCTAAGCTTACTTGGCAGCCTCTCATGGTATCTTTCCTCCAGACAGGTGTCCAGGCTGTGGGGGTGGTCTCTACATTTTCTTTACCACTTGAAAAGGATAAAAAATTCCAGAGTCAGCACAGATATTTTGGCACTTAAGTTTCAGGTATCATGCAACAGTGCCCAAAAGAGAAAACACACCTGAGTAAACTTAAGCAAGGGTCCAACAATGTCAATGCTAGGACCAGGGCTATATGAAGACAAATGAGTGTATGCTTCTACTTTCTAGGTCTGCTTGAAGTTTATTTAGGTGTAGAAGGGTGTCTCTTTAGTAAAACCTAATACATGGAATAGATTCACTTGCTAAATCATTTGTCTTGGTCAAAGAGAGTACGTAGTCTAAAACAGACAGGAAGCAGAAAGGCCATTTCTTTGGTTTCTCTCTTTAGTCAAACTGTCATTAAAACAAAGTAGGTTCTTTTTTAAGGGTTTGTGCTGGCACAGAGTGTTCCACTGCACTATCCCAGCACACAGAGCACACACGGGAGGATAACACAGGGAAAAGACTTGAAGTACATGAAGTCATTTAAAAACTTCCCAGTGGAGGTCACTTTGTACTGTGATTGGAGTGAAGCTATTTTAATAATACACATGACCTATTTATTCCAGCTCCAGGAAGTGGTGGATGAACACTTCTCTGTTGTCTTCACCCTCCTGTTAAAAAACAAACAATAAGAAAACAGTGCCTGTATTCAAGAGACCTCAGCAAATGTGTTTTCTTAAGATGTCAATAGAAATACATGTGGATACTCAAATAGGTAACATGAAAACCAGTCCAAGCACCAGACGTTTTCCAGTATGTCTGGAATTATGGTCAATTATTTGATCACAATACTATCTTATGGATATCTCCTCCCTATAGCACTGAGTCACTGGCCTCCATCTGCTTTTGTTGGTTTGTTTTTGTTTTTGTTAGTTTGTTTTTGTTTTTGTTTTGTTCTGTGCTTTGTTAGTTAGGTCCAGGCCATTTTTGTGAAGGTCTTTCCTTTAACTTGTTTTTCTAGGTTTTTGCTTCTCCTAAGTTTATAGCTGATTTCATATATAGGCCCACATCAACAGAGTACCCTTCAGCGTGTGTGCATGTGAGCGCGCCAGCTATCAGAGATAGCATGAGTATAAGCATAATCCATGGGCTTGTTCGTTCATCAGTCGTGTGGTATAGAACGTCCTCCTTTTTCTCAAATGTATAAAGGATTCCCTCTGCCATATGGATCTGAACTTTCCACAGAGCCCCCATGGTGCTGCCTTCTGCCTGTTAATCTATGGCATCAATACTTCACTAAGTAAATCCTACCCAAAGCAGTCTACCTTAGAATCCCTCTTGAGCCCTAACTCCTAACCCTTCATGCTTTAGGGATCTGGCATTGCTGGTTGGGTTTTCCAGGCTGTCATTAACTGTGACCAACAAGAAGTGCGGGAGGGACTGATAGATGCAGCATAGGAAAATGTAGGGCCCGTGCCCTGGTCCTGGTCCTTGACTTTGCAGTGTTTCTATCAGCAGCTGCATCTCTGTCAGTTGAGCAAAGAGCAGAGGCCCTGGTCTCTGATGATGATATCATACATTTTGTCTTTTTAGCTTAGGGGTGGTGATGGACTTGCTGTTGTGGGTTTCTGGTATTCCCAGTGTCTTCTGTTTTGTTTTTTAGCTCTCTCACCATCTGTGTAATTGATTTTCTACATTAATTCCATTTGTTTATTCAACTTGCTTTTATTATCTGGACTTGAATGCTTTTACTGGTATATTATTCATTACTAAGCCATACTTAAAATTGATATATGTGGGATGATGATATAAAATCCATCCATAACTATGTGGAACTTTTTATAAATTTCCTAGGTGATTGTAATTCTGAGCTATTAACAGTAGCATGCCAACACAGAATGCTGTGCTCAGACGCTAGATTCCCATATTTGTTTCCACCAAATACTCTGGGTTGCATAAATGAACTTTACATTATTCCCAGTAAACCTTGAAAGTGTGCTTACTAGCAACTGTGACTGCAGCATTGGGATGTTTCTAACTACTGTACATCAATAGCAATGTGGCAGTAGTTTATAAGAATATCTATTACATGAGCAAAAATAGCGGTTCTGGTAATGCGGAGGAACAGCTCACAGAATATAACAGGATTAAATAAAGGAAAAATCAGCACAATGAAGCTCTTTTGTTGGGAAGTGTACATTCCGTACATTCTTTCAAATATGTGTGTGTTGTGATCTGTATTATTACAATCTCCAAATCACAAAGCAGCTTGTGGTTCAGGATGCAACAAAGCACTTTTGCTACATTTAAAAGGCTGGAAACAGATGACTCTAATGTGAAGTTTCTTTCTTTTCAATAATATTTCCTATAATGGGTCTTTAATTTGTAACCATCAGATCTTGAAGTTTTCATTTTCCATGTAGAACAGTATAGTGCTGAGTCAGCTAATACTAGAGAATCTTGACACTGGTCCCTTCTCTTTATATGCTGTACATGGACTCTAGTTTAAAAGAGTGTGGGCATCTCTTTGAACATGAACAAATTTTCTCCACCTATGAGGTTAGGAGGCTTTGTGAATAACCATGCCCAGATAAAAAGCTACATTTGGAGCTGGGGAGATACCTCAGCCGGTAATATTATTTGAAATGGTTTTTACTCTTTGGCTTTTTTGGAGGGGTCCACCACCCAGCTCCCAAATAAATAATACAGAGTCTTATTATTACTTATGAATGCCCGCCCTTAGCTTGGCTTGTTTCTTGCTAGCTTTTCTTATCTTTAAATGATCCCATTTACCTTTTCCCTCTAGGCTTTTATCTTTCTTACTTCTGTATATGGTACTTTCCTTTTACTCTGTGGCTGGCTGGGTGTCTGGGTGGTTGGGTGTCTGAGTGACTGGGTGGCTGACCCCTGATGGCCTTGTTTTCTCATTGCTCTTCCCTTCCTTGTTTCTCTTATTTATACTCCTTGCCTGCCAGCCTGGCCTATGCTTGCTCCCACCTCACTATTGGCTGTTCAGCTCTTTATTAGGACCACCATGTGTTTTAGACAGGTACAGTAACACAGCTTCACAGAGTTAAACAAATGCAGCATAAACAAAAGTCACACATAGATAAGGTGCCTACCATGGAAGCACAAGACTAGAACTTGAGCCTCAGAAGCTGTGGAAGGGGATTTGTCACATTGTTCTGGGCCTTGCTGCACAAATTTAACAACATATTTTAGAATTACTTCTTAATTTATCTAAGTCTGTATGTACATTTTAAAGCAATTGCATGCTATTTTGTAAAATGGATGAATTCATTTGACTATAATACTACTTAGTTTACTTTTTATTTGCTCAAGAATCCTGTATTGTAATGAACTTCTTTTGTTATACACCTCTCTAGTATACACATCCCTAAATTTTCTTTTTTGTCTCTGAATCAATTTTAAACTTGCATATGTATTTGTTACTTTTCTGCTGCTATGATAACATACTATAACCAAGGCTAATCATGGAAGAAAGAATTCATTTGGGCTTACAGTTCTGGGAGGATAAAAGTCTATCATGACAGTGAGGCATGGCAGTAGGCAGCAAGCATAGTGGCAAGAGGAGGAAGCTGGGAGATCACAACTCAACCACAGACACAAAGCAGAGCGAGCCAACTGGAGAGCAAGGCAATAAGCTCTCACAGCCTGCTCTTAGTGTGGTAATTTCTTCAGCTAGGCTGAACCTCCCTAAAGTCTCTTCCAACAGCGTCACCAAGTAGGGACCCAGTTCAAATGGGGAACATTTCTCCTTCAAACCACCACAGCATACAAAGTTAGTGGGTTTCATTATGGTATTTTCTTTTTTTCTCTATTTTTTATTTAAATTAGAAACAAACTTGTTTTACATGAGAATCTCAGTTCTCTCTCCCTTCCCTCCTCCCCTGCCCCCAACTAACCCCCTATCCTATCCCTTTTCTGTTCCCCAGGGAGGGTGAGGCCTTCCATGGGGGATCTTTGATGTCTGTCATATCCTTTGGAGTAGGGCCTATGCCCTCCCCCGTGTATCTAGGCACGCTATGGTAGTCATTTGCTAAAGACAGAACAAAGGCTGATAGCAGCCCTTATAAAATGAATATCCACTATAAATGTTGAATGAAACATATGGATATTGCTTGATAATGTTTTTTTTTATTATCTGGGTGAGTTTTGGTCAGTTTGAGATGGTGACTTAATCCCTTGTAAAACTCTGTTAAACATTTTGTAAAGTATTCCTCATCCTTTACTCATGCAGTACTTTTTGTCATGTTCAAGAAATATACAACGGAAGTACTTCATTAGAAATGATGGAAGACACAAGGAGAGCAAAGTAGATAATTCAAATGTAGGCTCACTCTCGATCCAATGGCACTAATGAGAAGCACTTCATTGATTTCTTTCCTTAAATGCAACAGCAATGAATTATTGGTGATTCTGAGGCTATTACTAATGTGCTTAAGCTGATATAATGAATCAAATGAACAAAAATTTTAAATTTAGTAGCTGTTAGTGTTTAGGCATTTGTACTGGCCTGCCTTTGGAGTTCTGACAAGATACACCCTCAGTTGCTGCCACTAAGACTAACTCCTGTGCCTATTCAATATGTTCCTTTCAAAGGGGCCCTGCCCGCCTCCCATCTTTCTCTCTCTCTTCCTGTCCCTCTGTCTGTTCCCCCGCTCTGCCTCTCATTCCTCTTTCCCACTGCTCCTTTCCCCAGAGACCAGGCTCCCCCTTCCCTTTTCAACTTTTTATGATCTTTTTGTCTTAATAAAAAAAACCCTCTGCTTGAACTCTGTTGCATGGCATTTTTCTCTCTTGAACTGCTTTTTAAAAAATTATAACAGTAGTAATCTCAAATATTCACAATATCTGCTACTTTGGATCCTCTGGCTTTTATTTCATTTCTTGTCCACATTCTGACTCCTAGGAACCATTGTTTTATTTTACATTTCTATATATTCAATCTTTTTATATTATACATATAAGCATACAAGTACAGTCATGCAATGTTTTACTTTTTTTACCTTCTTTCATTTTTTAAGATTTATTTATTTATTACATATACAGTGTTCTGCCTACATGCCGGAAGAGGGTACCAGATTGAATTGTAGATGGTTGTGAGCCATCATGTGGCTGCTGGGAATTGAACTCAGGACCCCTGGAAGAGCAGTCAGTGCTTTTAACCTCTGAGCCATATCTCTGGCCCCTACCTTATTTCATTTTGTACAGTGTCCTTTAGGCTTATCTATGTTGAATCAAATATCAAGATCTCTTGGGTATGTAAATAATACTGTAAGGAACATGGGAACACAGAAGAGGGGTTTCTGGGTCATATGGTAGTTCTATTTTTCATTATTTTTAAAAGCCTTCATATTGTTTCTCACGGTGACTACACCAACCTGCAGAACACTGGAAGTTTACATTGCTTTCATTTCGCTATACCTTTGCCAGAATTTATCTCATGCTATGATTGGTATAATGTAGTATCTCATAATAATATTGGCTTGCATTTTCCTGGTAATTAATGAGGTGGAGCATCTTTTTGTATATCTGATGACTGTTAGTCATTTTTTGAGGAATGTTTATTCAGGTTCCTTAGTTACCTTTAAAACTTTTTACTGTGTATGACTTAAAATTTTTAAAATTTCTCTTAAAATATAAGCTATGACTTTAAAGCTCTGTTCGAAGGTTTCTTGAACTGTAGTAATTGGAGAATTCATACACTCGAGGACAAATAGGCTACCATGTATCTATCGGTCTATCTATCTATCTATCTATCTATCTATCTATCTATCTATCTATCTATCATCCATTTAGGTGGCCAAGAAGAAACATAATGCAGAGAGGTCTTACTCAAAAATTTAGAATGGCAGCTATTTTTAAAATACTCAGTGTCTCTGGTTTTTAGATTCTTATTATAAGTTGATTGGTAAAATTGTATCCTCTGATACTTTATGTGTGACTTAATATTTATTTGAGTTTAATGTGTTAGTATAACCATTTTCTTCTGTCTTAAGTGAGGTCCAAGAGCCAAAAGAATCAGTACCACCTCCTAAAACCTCAGCAGCTGCTCAGCTGGATGAACTCATGGCCCACCTGAGTGAAATGCAGGCTAAGGTGAGTGCAGTATGGAGGATCCAGAGAGGCACCAAGTTAGATTGGTCATGGTCAGTCCTTCATCCCATGTTGGGGAATTCTAAGGTGGTCATTTTCCTAGGTTACATTTAAGTCAGTGGAAGAACTCATTTGGATGTGAAAGATAGCATGATATAGGCCTTGATCTAAAGGAGATTGGGGGTGTTCTTGATATAGCTAGTCATAAAACCTGCAATGATTTTAGAATAAAGACTTGTGATTTTCCAAAATGACTGGAACAAACTCTAGGGATTTTATAGGTTAAGCGGATTTTATCAGAGCAGTTGTGATGGTGGGGTTTGGGATAGACACTGAAGAATAGGAGAGGTCTGGACACATGATGATAAGAGTTGGAGAGATCCCTGAGGGCAAAGGCTGCACTGAAGGCATGATGATACAGAAGGTCTATTAAGGACACAAGCCTGAGCAGGACAGAGGCCAGTGAGCAGGCTGAGACACCGAGCAAGGGAGGCCAAAGTAGGAAGCATGAGTTCTGAGACCATACTGAGATAAAATTTGCTCTTTTTTTTCTTGTCTGTAGAGTGAAAATGGCAAACTCACAGGTCCTGGCAGAGAGCAGCAACCAGATTAGGAGTCTTAAGCATTTATCAAGGGCATAGATCTAGAATTCTTAATACAGAGAATCCAACCTTTTAAAATCTGGTTGGAAGTTAAGATGCATAGCTATGAAATCAGTATGATATGCTTAAGGCAGACTGTTAAAATGTGTATGGTACAGTGAGCAAGTAACACACAGTTGTTGGAGGGACAAAACAAGATTCTCTGATGGCTAATATTCTATAATTAGCTAACATCTACACTAAAGTTGAGTAAATTGACTTGTGCTGCATACTTGATGATGCTAGAAAGGCAATCATATTAGGAAATTTATGCTGTGTTGTTAAGGTGTGTCTTGGTGTATTTAAATCTTAACTTAAAGTGTATTTTTTAAAACTTAGATACATATACATTGCACAAAATCAAAAGTACAAAAATGTTTACAGTAAACAATTTCCATATCATTTGTCCTGGATTGTCTCATTCTGCCCCCTGCAGGTCATCAGAATATACTGTGCTTTACGTATGTGTCCAGAAGTATTTTGGAATATGCAAGCAAATAGGCATAGATGGGAGAATATGTTGTCATATTTTTACTTAGTTATTTTCAAATGTAAAATTAGTAACTGCTTTGGTACCTCTTGACATTAATCCTTTGGACAGATACCTCTCAAACACTAACTTCCATTATGCAAAGGGGAGGAAAGAAATCTGAGGATCAATTTTTTGAAGGGAAATGAGCATAATAGGTGAGAGTATAATAGGCAGTGAAGGTTGAATAACTAGAGACCTGAAGGCAGATGTTAGCAGGAGAATGTTGGGAACCTGCCTGCTTCAATAAGAAGGCTTTGACTGTGAAATAGAAAATGAGATGGGAAAGACAAAGTGAGGGTAATGGGTGTGAGGCTGTGAATATATACTTGATGATAAAATAATTTGATGGGTAGGCAGTGGAGAACCACTGTATCTACCTGACCAGATAAACATTAGGTAGGTAGATGGTAGCAACAGCCCATGAAGGAGAGGACATGGAATGATGAGGGAAAAAATTAGGCTGTGTGTCTGTGTAAAAATGACTTGAGTGATTTATAATAATAAGTTTGGGTCTGTCTTTGATAAATCCAATCTCACTTAACACTGGTTTTAAACATTATACAAATCATTACAGAGTCTTGTAATCTGCTTCCCTCATTCTCTGATTTGTCACCTTTCAGTCACATTTATCACCTTAGTATGCAAATCAAACTTTTGCCATGAAGATCCTAGGTGACTTTTGCTTTTCTCCCCACACTCTCCTGTATGTTCAGTCTTAGTGCTTTTGTTTTGGCTCTGTTGATCTTTTAACTTTTCTTCCACTGTGTCAAATGGTTTCATACCTTGAACATTCTTTCTCTTTTGGAATGACCGTTTCACTAATGCCATTATTCTTGGATCCTTGAGTTCATATGTTCAAGTATTGCTTCTTCAGAGGCATTTTCTTCTAAATCAGTCCCTACTCACCATACCACCCTCCATCACAACTATCTCTTATGTAACACACAACTTTTCTTTATCTGACATGCAGCATTTGTTGATTGCCTGCCACTCATAGAATGAAAATTCCCCGAGGCAGGAAACTTGGTGTGCTTTATACTACTTCATAACAAGTTCCTAGAATACTGTCTGTGACAAATTAGGTGCTTGGCAATTAATAAATGAATATAAAGAGGATATGACTAATTTTCATCTGGGGTCACTGTAAGAGCTACAAAGAGTATAGTCTTCATACACTCGATTATTTTGGGCAGACAGAATATTTACAAATAAATGACAAATGAGCAGATTTCATTTTTGCTCAAGGAGTTTAAAATGAAATGGAAATAAGTGTTTTTACTTATGTTCATGTTGGGTGGCTCCAGTTCCTTGTAGGAAGGTTAGGGAATGACAAGATCAACTGTCAGAGATGAAGGGATAGGTTGCATAGCAAATGCCAAAATGAATAAAGGTGCCACAGGCTGATTTCTGTTTATGGTTCTTTCCTTGTCCAAGGTTTCATTGACAGAAGATGCCAACAGGAAGAACTTAGCAGACAAGCCGGACCACAAGGCATCATTGGACTCTATGCTTGGGGGTTTGGAACAGGAACTGCAAGATCTTGGGATTGCCACAGTGCCCAAGGGCCACTGTGCTTCCTGCCAGAAGCCAATTGCTGGGAAGGTGGGATGATCTAGGATGTTGGTCCAGTCATTGTGTGTGTGTGTGTGTGTGTGTGTGTGTGTGTGTGTGCGTGCCCAAAAATGGCTCTTTCTCTTTGTATTCTAAGATATTTTAGTAATTGTTAACCACTGACTGCTTATAGCATTCTGGATCCTGAGCTAAGTGCTCTGTGAGTATTCCTGCATTTAGTAGTTGAATAAATCTTTTAAGGAGATTTTATTATAATGCCTTTTGCAAAAATAAGTTAATCAAGAGCTCAGAGACATTGGCCGGCACAACCAAGGTGTGGTAAGAAAGAAGCAAAGAGAACATTTGAATCCAGGACTGTCTAGCTTCTGAGTTTGAATTCCTAATCACTTTTTTTGCTGTTACTACTGAGGTGACCTTTTTCACTGCTCGCTCTCTTCAGACATTTCTGGACTTGAATTTATTCATTTCAATTCCAGCTAAATGTAACTTTAAACAGAGATACTGAGACTTGCTCTGTCTCATTGTCACCAAATCCACAGCATAGGGCTTTCCAACTGGGCTCTGGGAGGTTGAGAGCATAAACTCTGCTTGGCTTCTTAGCCAGGATAGCATGTTCCTTTTACTATCCTTTAAGCGTGGTCTCTGATGGCCTTAGTGTAACCTAGGTTTGGGCTTTGTTATTGTATAACTCAGAAGGTGTTGTCTACATGGAATGCAGAGTGCCCTCTAGTGGTGCACTGATGTGTCAGCCTCTGTGATATCTCCAGGTGATCCATGCTCTGGGGCAATCCTGGCACCCAGAGCACTTCGTTTGCACTCACTGCAAGGAGGAGATTGGCTCCAGTCCCTTCTTTGAACGGAATGGCTTGGCCTACTGTTCCAATGACTACCACCACCTGTTCTCTCCACGCTGTGCCTACTGTGCTGCTCCCATCATGGATGTGAGTAACTCCCCATCCTGCCAGCCTTCCTGAAGTGTCTGATCACTTGTTAAGAGCACTGGGCATGTTTTATAACTCTAAAGCCTTCTGATACCCCTCCATGTGTCCTGTTTCCAGAAAGTGCTGACAGCAATGAACCAGACATGGCACCCAGAGCACTTCTTCTGCTCTCACTGTGGAGGGGTGTTTGGTGCAGAAGGTAAGAGGGGAGACTACAACCAACCCCAGGGTGAGAGACGGGAAGGCCAGCAGCACTGCTCCTGGGAAGGGGTCTCTGGTGGGTGTCTGCTCTCAACACTGCTCCTGGGGATGGGTCTTTGCTGGGTCTCTACTCTCAATACTGCCACTTACAAGCCTATTTCATGCCTAAATGTCATCTCTCTCCCTTTCTCTAACATTACTACTTTTAAATTGATTTTTGTTAAAGAAGTGAAAATTCGTCATTTAAAAGACAGATTGTGGCCTCAGGAGATGGCTTGGTAGGTGAAACGCTTGCTGCACAAATATGAAAAGACCTGAGTTTGAATCCCTGGACTCTTATTAAAAGCTAAGCCTGGTGGCACAAATCTGTGACACCAGTGTTACTGCCAGAGATGTGAAGCAGAGACAGGAGAATCCTCAGAAGCCTTCAGGCCAGCTAGCCTAATGTACACAATGCAAACAGAAGAGACTGCCTTAAACATGGAAAGATAGGACTGCCACCAGACGTTGCCATGACCTCTATGCATGAATCATGGTATATGCATGCTTATACTCATACAAATGTAAAAACACACATAGCACTTCCTCCCACAATGTTATGAATTAATGTTTTCCTTGGAATTAAAATTTGGATTGCTTTCCTTTAGTTTAATTTTCACTATACTTACTGCAAATTTACCTGATAGAACCATGAAATCCTTATCAAAACAGTCAGCTGCACGTGCTAATAAGTCTGCTCCATTTTATTTTATTGGTGATCTGGCAAGAGAGGTCAACCTTCCTGCTCCAACCTGAAATGCTTTCTTCCTGCTAAGTAGCATTCATTCTGGTCCTTCTCCCCAAAGTCCCCCTAGCATCTGCTGCTACTACCTTTCTCTTCAGATCCTGTTTTCTCTTTTCTTCTTTCTATGAGTGTATTTTTATAACTTCACAATCATGTAATGTGCATCCTGATAACTACAATTCCCTCTCTAATCTCCCATCTGCCTTGTTTTACATCCCCTCCTCCTCCTGTCAAGTAACCTTTCCACACAGATGACGTTTTGTTGCTGCTGTTTTTTTGTTTGATTTTTGCGACCCACTGAATTTAACCAGGTGGGAGAGCGTCAATAGAGGAGAAGCTGACAAATTGCCAGCTTTCCTTAATTCACTGCCCCCCACCAGTGGAAAACTTGACTCATTTCTTATGTGTGCTGAAGCACTCAGAGTGTCTAATAAATAGTTTCAAATAGTCTGTGTTTTGTGAGAGGGTAGGCATCAGACCTTCCAATGGCTTTTCAGACTTTGAGCTGGTCCTGTCTAAACCTGAGGACTATTTTGCATTCAGATACTGGGAGATCTCATGTTGAGGATCCCAGCAGTGAAGGTGGATATCCCTTTCAGCTTTAGTTCCCAAGTTAGAGGCCACTCCTGTAATGTACATCATAAAAAATAAACAAACAAAACAACAGCCACCAAAACCCCTTTTACTGATATTGCATAATGGCATCTCTTCCCCTTGCTCCTTTTGTTTGTGATTCTTTCATAATCTAGATAATTCCTTTCATGTTTTTATTCTGTCACTGCCTTTGAGTTGCCTTAACATGGAATGCGATAGCAATTATATTTAATATACAGTGGGAACTGTTTGCACTCATAATTCTTAAGACTACATTCAGCTTCCATAATTGAGAGGTTTTCATTAAGATTTTATTTTCATGTTTTATACCTCCCAAGTTTTTATTGCATTTTTATTTTGTCTGTGAATGTGAGCATGCCATGATGTACATGTGGAGGTCAGAAGACAGAGAGTGCAAGCCACTTCTCTCCTTCTGCCACATGGTTCCCAATGAATGGGCATGGGTCCTGAGGCTTGGCAGTAAGTTCCTCTGCCTTCGGAACCATGGAACCAGCCCTGCTTTATCTTTTCTGTGTGACCCATTTTAACAGTTTGCAAGGATTTATTTTTCCAAATAGTCCTGAAGTTTTTTATTGTTCCTTTGTTTTCGGAGCAGCAGAGTGTCATGCAGCTTGGGCTGGCTTCAGGTTTACTATGCAAGTGATGATGAGTCCCTACATTTCCTAGGATCACACATGCATGTGAATACTGGAGGAAAATGATATATAACATTGTGTGTGTGTGTGTGTGAGAGAGAGAGAGAGAGAGAGAGAGAGAGAGAGACAGAGAGACAGAGAGAGACAGAGACAGAGAGACAGAGACAGAGAAGGGAGATAATGTCTGAAACTTGCCAAGCAGAATTGGCTGTCTGTGTTGAGCTCCAAGATATCAACTGTCTGTTTCCCCAGTCCTGGATTACAAATGTGTGTCACTCTGCCTGGTTTACTTGTTTGTTTGTTTGCTTGCTTGTCATTTATTTATTTGGTGGGTTCTATCTGGGGATCTAACTCAGTTCCTTGTCTTGTGTTTACAAGGCAAGCACTTTATTGACTGAGAAATCTGCCCTAAAGTAAAACTAGAAGGCTGAAGGGATGAAATTTGAACTCAGGTCTCATTTCTATAAGTTTCACACCACATTTTTGCTAACATACTCTAATTTTTCTTTGACCTATACTCAATTCTCCTATTGATAGATCTCCTTACTTTCTCAGTACCAACTTGTACTTTACTGTGCAATAGAGCCAAATGCAGTAGTGCTGACACAATGTGCTAACAACGTTCTTTGTAGTGAATTACCTGTGCATTGGAGATTGTTCAAGGCACTTAATAAATCAGTAGGTCTTTCATGTCTACATTGCACTTTAGTTAGGCAACATTTTTTATTGAGTAAATCCAAATCATACTAAAATGCATTATATTTGCCTGTATCAGTAGCAACAGAAATATGAGAATTAATTAGAATAAATTAATAAATAGCCATTAAATGAACACTGCCTTGTCTCCAAGCATAACAGCTGTCCTCTCCATCTGGGCAGAGGTGGCTACTTGCATGAGACCCTAACTGGGCTTGTTGGCTGTAGGTATTCCTTCATAGGAAAGGCTTAGGAGGGTCACTTCCTGGCCAGCTGAATGTGATTCTGCTCTAGTGGTACATGGTCTCATGTTCTCGAGAGGTACTAGAACATACAGTGTGTGTAAGGTTAGTGGAAGAGGAAACTCCATCTATGCAGTTGTAGGGAAGTTGTTATCCATGTTCAGAGAGACTTCCTGGTGGTGTGGCTTCTTTGGGGCTACCCACTCTGTATAAACTCAGTGAACTCAATGACTCCCTAAGTTGGACTTTGGTGGAATCGTACTTTTGTTTATCATTGGAGACCAACAAGGATAGGGTGGACAGCACTGTCCATTGATAATTATGATGTAGAAATTGCCTGGAAACAGGTAAGGGCACATAAGAAGAACAGCCATAGTTACATACAAAAAATGTTCATATGTTAGGATGACTGGAAAGCATATCTAGTTTCATTGTTCTTGAGTTGGGTTCCTGCTAACCTGACAGGATTCATTGGGTGATTTGAAATAAGCATGAAATCACACTGAAAACATATATTAATAGAGGCACATGGCAATGGACCCATTTATTAGCTAGAACCTCCTTTTGGGTTGTAATTCCATTCTTTTTTTCCTGGCTTTCCTGTAAATGGGTCTACTGCTGTATGGTCAGTCCATTAATTAGATAGCATCCTGAATTTTATTCCAGGATACATATACATATACAGAATTTCAATAATAACAGTTAAACCATAGAGCCTCCTGGGAAATTAAATTCATCTGCATTCTTCTTCAGTTCAGAGACTCCCTCTTTAAGGCTCAAGTTTCTAAATGCATTGGTCCTTAGCATTTTTCCTAGGGGACTATGTCTTCAGTGCTACCCATCTTTCTTTTTAATTGTTCATTATCCCAGCCATGCAGGTGCTTTTAATTTCCCTAGTGGCTAAGAGTCACACCGGAGTGAAAACACTCTTCCTCTCTCTGTGGTAACTTTTAATTGTCAGTGTCTCTCATTCATTCTCTTGAGGTAATTGGCCCCAGAGAGAGCCTTTGGGACAGTAATGCTGAAACTTTCCCAGTGTATTGGGTTACTAAGTATGGGGACATTATAGAAAGTTTGGTGGATTGCTTTGATTCTCCTCCTGAGACTCACCCAAGTTGAAATGGAGGCTGTTACTCTCCTACTGTCTCACTCTGGAGGCCAACCGCTCTGCAGATTCCTAAATGGGGTTCATACTTAGGTTAGGTGGCATGCCTTGAAGCTTTCTTAAGAAATACCAACTTACATCACTTGGGGGGGCATTTTAAAAATGCAGAATCTCCAGTACTATTCCAGACTTACTGAATAAAAACCGGGCAGGGGTGGGGGTATACAGGAAGGACCTAGGAATATACATTTTAACAAATTCTCAGGTGAGTGAAGCATGCTGAAGTTAAAAAGAATACTGTTTTACACAAAAGCTAGAAAGATGCCTGCCCATGGGTGTTTTTTTTTCCTTAAATGGGGCAGGGGAGGTTGACATTTACTTTTCCTTAAACAGACTCTAGAAACCTTTGAATGGGTCAGAAAAGAAAAAGAGAAAAGTAAAGCAAGAAGAATAACACAGGACAGGTATAAAATTACTAGTTTGGATTCTTAGATCCATTGGCCTTTAAATTTTCAAACTCATTTTTTTTTTAGAGAAGAAGGCATAGCTGAGTGAAGCAATGACATCAAACAGTGACAATAACTAAAGGCAAAAAGAGCAGCTATGGGATTTGGGTCATACCCCTGACGTCCTATTACACTTTTGTGATCTGGCTGCCACAATTTCTAGAATGTTCTTTGAGTGGGCAGTTTGAACAATACACTAAATACACTTTGTTCCATACCACCACTAGCCAGGTGAGGCCTAGGGTGGGTTCTCATGTTTACACAGTTTTGGTTAGGATATTCACACTTAGTTAACCTATTAGTTCTCATGGGAAGGTCAAGTTTAGGATGTGTTTAAGTTGGGGGTGGGATGTGAATTTTATCTTTTCCACTGACTAGTTTGCAATGGATGACTTATCAAAGATAATTACTATTTAGTGTTGTTATATTTTCAAATATTTTAAACATTGGGATAATGTCAGCAAAACCAATGGTATCTAGTTTCTCTCAGGGCTAATGTTCAAGGCAGACTGTAACCATGATTTAAGATTAAGTAAGTGGTATAAAGACAATGAAGATAGATGAATTGGCAAAGGACTGGGTTGATCCTCTGAGAAGATGACCATCTGAGCTGACTCACAGTTGTATCAATGCCAGGAACAGAACTTCACACCAAGGGAACACTTTGTATCAAGGTATTAAGGAGAAATAGCCCTTAGTACTTAGGCTGCGATTCAAGTTCAATGCTGACAGACACCTGCATTATCTCCATTTTGAACATGGGGCTACTAGAGTTGGGAGAGGTGAAAATAATGGCCTTATGTCTTCTTCTAATGTAGCTTTAAAGTACTCAAAGACTACAACTACAAATCTTCTATTTTATCTTTTCAGGCTTTCATGAGAAGGACAACAAGCCATATTGCCGAAAAGATTTCTTAGCCATGTTCTCACCTAAGTGTGGTGGCTGCAACCGCCCAGTGTTGGAAAACTACCTTTCAGCCATGAACAATGTCTGGCACCCAGAGTGCTTTGTGTGTGGGGTTTGTATGCTCAGTTACCTTCACTTTTAGGGAAAATCAAAGAGTATTCTTCCCCGAAAGAACTAGCTGCTACTTAGTGAGATGGTTTGTAGTCCAAGGTGAGGAATCCATGTTAGTTTTATTTATTTATTTTTTAAAAGAAAAATAGCACACAGAACCCTCTGTGGACGTTTGCTGGTCTGCTTTGCAAATGTGTAAATCTAGCTTTTGTTTGTTGAGGACCTGAGATAAATCCTACAACTGGCATGCAACTGGCAAGGATCTTGAAGATGAAAGTTTTATCTGGTGACATTATCTCTTGACATGTATTTCTTTTGTCTGTATTCACTCAATCCTCAGGACTGCTTCTGCAGCTTTTCTTCTGGCTCCTTCTTTGAACTGGATGGCCGTCCATTCTGTGAACTCCATTACCATCACCGGCGAGGGACCCTCTGCCATGGCTGTGGGCAGCCCATCACTGGCCGCTGCATCAGTGCCATGGGACACAAGTTTCACCCTGAGCACTTTGTGTGTGCTTTCTGCCTGACACAGCTGTCAAAAGGCATCTTCAGAGAGCAGAACAACAAGACCTACTGTCAACTCTGCTTCAATAAGCTCTTTTCACAGTAGTCCCCTCTGATTCACGTCTACTTCTTATTCCTGTAAAACTGAGACCATGGCAGGGGCGAGTACACTTTCTTTCCCTGACCTTCACTCAGTGGGCTAATGATGAGCAAATAAGGGAATTTCTATGTGTTACTAGACTTATAATCTTATTTTTGAAGATACTTCTTACTTTTAATTGTGTATCTGCATTTATATTTAGATCATGTTACCAAGACCTTCTGAAGATATATTTGTCATGTTCACACAATTCATGCCACCACTGTTTTTATCTTTCTCACATTTTACCTCTACTGATGCCCCACTTAGATCTTCAGCTGTGGGCCTCAGAATCTGACTCTTTTCTCTTAGGAGTCATGATATTACTTTTAAGAGCTTGGTGCCTTCCCTCAATGCATTTTTCTGTTTTAGGAGGAAGTATATTTTAACTGACATCTGTGATAAATAAAGTAACTTGTGGTTTTGGTGACTCACTGTCATACTTATGTGATAGACAAACTTTTTGCTTCCCATACTGTGGAACACCAGGTACTATTTGCAGCTAAATTTATACACTTTCTCTTCTTTCCTTGTACACAGCAGATACACCCCGTTTTAAATCAGAAGAACCTAAAAGAGGAGACCTATTGTTTATAACACTTCTCTTTAGTTTGGGCCTTTAGACATTTTATTTTTCATACTTAAGTCTTTGAATCATTACAAAGTAACAGAACTTTTAAAATTTGTCTTCACTTTATCAGAAAAGATCTGGCTATGCATTAAATACTTTACAGATGCATTTCACAAGTGAAAAATTAAGGATGTGTTTCCTTCAAACTCAAAACTGCCTCATGGAGACAAATGACAAATGTCTGTGCATAGCTTCTCCAAGGAAAGATGTTACAAAAGATTGCGTGATAGCCCTTTAGTTGGACAGGAAAGCCAAGTCACAAACAATTAGTAATTGTTCTCTCAAAACACTTTAGGTCAATTTATAGAAAACTTTACAGGTTGCTGAGGAATCGAACTTTCTTAGATCCTGTTGGTTTGTTTATAAAGTAGGCTGCATATAGAAGCATGTGTCTATAAGTGAGGCACTCATTTGGGATGGTGTGCTTTATTTCTTACCACAATCTTAACAATAATTATATGTTTATTTTACTATAGCAAAAGCATAAGTTTTTTAGAACCCTAAATTCTGAGATTACAGGCAAAACTCTCTTCATCGGAAGTTGATCCCCCACCAAAAAAATTAGGAATGAATGTGTTATTTTAAGGCTGGTATGAGAATAGTTCTTTTTAGAGTATTAAAATGGATTAAGTGATTCTTGCCAAGATTTACTGTATGGTTCATTTGTGAGGATGGATAAAAAGGGAGTTTTGACATTTTATGACCATTTACAATGAAGGTGCATTAGTAGACAGCAGGATACTGTTGGTGAACAAGTAGTGATCCATACTCTGGAAGAATTCATGGTCTAGTAAAAATGCAAATTATTAGACCCAGATTAAAGTTTAGTGGAGAATGTTCTGTTATGTGAGTAAGCCTATAGTGTTTGGAAAAGCAAGGAGAAAATCCATAGTTACCAGATTTTCAGTGAGAAATCTTATCCAAGTTCTCCTTAAGAATGTTTTTCAGAGTACATATAACTTTGAAACACAAATAATTATGTTGGATTTTAATAAATTCTCTGAAAACAATAAAGAGGAGTTTTTAGAGTTAAAAACCAGTAGTGACAGTTAACTCTATTAAATAGGAACATATGTGGAGGCCACAGAGACATGGAGCCATCTAGTCTTCAGTCCTGTTTGGCTGGCTGAACTTAGCAGATGAACAATACACTTTCAGCTTCTTGGTGTCTTTTTCACTGTCTGCACTGATGACATCATAGCAGGTGTGAATAAGGCAGTGTTCACAGAAACCTTGGGAGTTTGACAAAGTAAACTTGAGGTTTCAGTACAAAAGAAAAAAATGTTCAGGTGCTGAGTGCTTTTGCTTTTGTTTGAAGAACTGACTGTTTGAGATCTTTTACAATCTAAATATTTAATAATACAAGAAATGTCAGAACTCACAAGCATACAGTTAAGAATGAAGGTGTCCTCCTTTCATAATAGAGGTGCTTATGTTTTCTCTGGAAGAGATGCTGCCTCGAGATGCAGGCTTTCAACAGGAAATCGACCTTTAGGTGAATATTCTTATTAAGAAACCCTCCCATACCAGAAGCTCATTATTTAAACTAACCACCTAACTCCTTTTCTTAGTTATATTTAACTACTTTAGTGTGTAAAACATAAAACCCTTCTCCCAGGCAGGACTTTTTTGTCTTTGGCTATATGTGTACAGAGAGAAATTTATCATAGACTCAGAGCTCTGCTGTTGAGGAGGAGTTCCCACATGGCCCACTATTCTGTGACATACTGAGTTCTCCAGGATGATGCTTTGACAGACACAGTTGCTTTTCCTTACAAGTTTGGACATGTGATTCTCTGATGGTATGTGATGTCTGTCAGATGTGTGTTCCTGTGTTTATTACATATATGGGGAAAAGAAGTGCTTTTTATTTTCTATCTTTTTTTTAAAAAAAACTCCAATGAGCCATCCTAAGTAAACTAGAATAGGTCATGTTCCAATTAGTGAATATGAATGTATCTATATTGCTTGGGGGATGGATTGTACAGTTTGGCATAAGACAAACTGGGATCTTTCACAAAACAGAGACTAGATGGATTAAGAGTTCTGAAACCACACAGGCTCTATGAAGGTTATGGGCACACCTAAAACCTGCATGTTATTGGAAAGTGAAAATTTTAAAAATCTTCTTAGTTTCATAGAATTTCTAGGCAAGCAAGTAGGTGTTGCTTGTTCCTTGACAGAACATACCTGAAGCTTCAACGTTCAAAACAGGAAAGTAGGAATTATGGTATCTTGAGAAATGAGTGGCAGAGATAAGCATTAAGATGCACTGGGAAGATAGCTCATTGCTCGCAACCCAACCATGAGGACCTGAGTTTCATCCTAGAAGTCATATAAAAATCCAGGTATTCTGATGTATATTTGTAATTCCAGTGCTGGGAAGTAGCAGTGGTCAGTGGATTACCGAAAAATAATACACAGGTACAGACACACGACCTGTACATACATATACCACCCTCAACCCCTACACCATCACACAAAAGGAACACCAAAACTAGATCTGATTTAGGAATGTCAGACAAAAATCTAGTTGAAATAAAAATGAGAAAACTGCCCAGTATATTCAAGGCTCTGGCTTCAATCCCCAGAAGTACAAAAACAAAACAAACACATATATAAATATAAGAAGTGACTTCTTCAGTAAGGGCAGTAATGGCACTCACTAAAATACAAGACTGGAAAAGCTTCTGTCTGTCCCCAAGATGCAAAAAGTTGGTGCAAGAAGGAACTTTCTAAAATCAGGAACAAGACAAGGATGTCCACTCTCTCCATATTTCTTCAATATTGTACTTGAAGTTCTTATCAGAGAAATAAGACAACAAAAGGAGATCAAGGGGATACAAATTGGAAAGGAAGAAGTCAAACTTTCTCTATTTGCAGATGATATGATAGTCTATGTAAGTGACCCAAAGAATTCTACCAGGGAACTCCTACAGCTGATAAACACCTTCAGCAAAGTGGCAGGTTACAAAATTAACTAAAAAAATCAGTATCCCTACAATAAAGGGGATGAGAAAGAAATCAGAGAAACATCACCCTTTGCAATAGACACAAACAACATAAAATATCTTGGGGTAACCCTAACTAAACAGGTGAAAGACACGTATGACAAGAACTTTAAGTCTTTAAAGAGAGAAATTAAAGAAGATACCAGAAAATGGAAAGATTTCCCATGCTCTTCAATAGGTAGGATCAACATAGTAAAAATAATCTTACCAAAAGCAATCTACAGATCCAAAATACCAAAATATCAAAATACCAGCACATTTTTTCACAGACCTCGAAAGGACAATCTTCAACTTTAAATGAAAAAACAAAAGACCCCGAATAGTCAAAACAACCCTGTACAATAAAGGAACTTCTGGAGGCATCACTATCCCTGACTTCAAACTCTACTATAGAGCTATAGTCCTGTAAACAGCTTGGTATTGGCACAAAAACAGACAGGTAGACCAATGGAATCGAATTGAAGACCCTGATATTAACCCACACACCTTTGAACACCTGATCTTTGACAAAGAAGCTAAAACTATACAGTGGAAAACAGAAAGCATCTTCAACAAATGGTGCTTAGGTAACTGGATGCTGGCATGTAAGACAGCAGATAGATCCATATCTATCACCACATACAAAACTTAGGTCCAAATGGATCAAAGACCTCAACATCAATCCAGCCACACTGAACCTCTTAGAAGAGAAAGTAGGAAGCACCCTTGAATGAATTGGTATGGGAGACCGCTTCCTGAACATAACACCAGTAGCACAGACACTGAGACCGACAATTAATAAATGGGACCTCCTGAAACTGAGAAGCTTCTGTAAGGCAAAGGACACAGGTCAACAAGACAAAATGACAGCCCATGGAATGAGAAAAGATATTCACAAACCCCACATCTGACATAGGGCTGATCTCCAAAATTTACAAAGAACTCAAGAAGCAAGTCTCCAAAACACCAAGGGATCCAATTAAAAAGTGGGGTACAGAACTAAATAGAGGACACTTGAGAAAGTGCTCAACATCCTTAGCTATCAGGGAAATGCAAATCAAAACAACTCTGAGATACCGTCTCACTCCCATCAGAACAGCTAAAATAAAAAACACTAATGACAGTTTATGCTGGAAAGGATGTGGAGAAAGGGGAACACTCCTCCACTTCTGGTGAGAATGTCAACTTGTACAGACACTTTAGACTTTGGTATGGAGATTCCTCAGGAAAATGGATGTCAGTCTACCACAAGATCCAGCAATTCCACTCTTAGGCATATACCCAAAAGATGTACTCTCATACAATAATGACATCTGCTCAACTATGTTCATAGCAGCATTTATTTGTAATAGCCAGAACCTGGAAGCAACCTAGATGCCCCTCAAATGAAGAGTGGATAGAGAAAATGTGGTACATTCACACAATGGAGTACTACTCAGAAGAAAAAAAATGGAGTCTTCTAATTTGCAGGCAACCGGATGGCACTAGAGAAACCATCCTGAGTGAGGTAACTCAGTCACAAAAAGACAAACATGGTATGTACTCACTCATATATGAATTTTAAACATGGATCAGGGGATTGCCAGCCTACAATCCCACCACCAGAGAATCTGAGAAGCAGGGAGGTCCCTAAGAGAGATACGCATGGTAACCTGGAGAAGGGTTATGGGACGAGATCTCCTAATTGAGAGTGGGGAGGGAGGGCAGGGAAAAGGAGATGGGAGAAAGCGGAGGGGAGAGGAGGACATGAGGTAGCAGGAAGGTTGAGCCAGGGTAAGCACAGAGGAGAGAAGGATGAGACATAACATA